GACCCTACCCTATACACCCCTTGTGGTCGGACACTTTCCTGGACCCTCACCTTGCGGGGACGCCATTGTGCACCGGGTTGCCTCTCTGTCCCCCTTGTTGATGTTAAAGTGCGTTCACTATTTTTTCCCTGTCATCTTCTGTATGAATATGTATTCCACTGATGCCAAATCTGCAAACGTTTCTTGGAGGCTTCACATCAGAATTAACCTCCTTTCCATAGCTTGCTGATTAGATTCTCATAATCATTTCACACTAATATCTGCTAGTTGTGCCCAGAATATTGGAAACCTTTCTACTTCATTCTTGTTTTCTCGTTTATTATCTCTGTAATCTCATGTTGCATATTTTTGTTTGATCTGCTCTTCGTTTTTGCTTTTCCTTCGATGAATGATAGGAATAGTTGGTGTTGTGTTTTTTAGGTTGCTCTTTTAAAGGAACACTTTTCTCCATTTGGTGAACTTTCTTCTGTGGAGCTTGAAGGAACAGAGGTGGAGGATAAATTGGACACGTCCAAAATCTCTGCCCTGGTATCCTTCACATCACGCAGGTCTGCGGAAAGGGCATTTTTGAATGCTAAAAGCTGGCAGGGTCATGCATTGGAATTTACTTGGGTACCCTCAGTTAATTCTAATGCATGTGTTGGTGTGAAAGAAATTACTTCAGTTTGCGATGATCTTGGAGTGAAAGAAAATGTATCTTGTTCCCAACAAGCTGCTTCAGACGCTAATACTCCAACTCTTGAAGAAGGTACTCCCACCTGTTTACCAAAAACACCTATTGCTAAAACTGCAAGTATTGAGAAAAGTGGAAGCGACCCCAGGGAGATGAACACAGATGAAGAGCCCAAGTCCTGTATGGTAACCATTTCTCCTGATAGACAGACTATTCTGGATGATTGATTTCGGGATGACCTGATTGTCATTTTGTGTATGGGTGAGTTTTTCTTTTCAGCTGCCTTCAGATATAAAATTTCAGGTCTTAAGAATTGGGGGGACGGGGCTGTGTGGCTCAAGCTCATAGAAGCAATCAAATGTAAAGAGAGACTTTCCTATATAAGTGTCATATTACGGTCACCCTTGGTTGAAATGGATTCTATTAACTACTAGAGGGGGGACTAAGAAGAATTTCCAGCTCTGAGATTACACTTGAAAATTTTCTTTTTTCGATAAGGTTTAATGCTATTATTATTATTATTATTATTATTATTATTATTATTATTATTATTATTATTATTATTATTATTATTATTATTATTATTATTATTATTATTATTATTATTATTATTATTATTATTATTATTATTATTATTATTATTATTATTATTATTATTATTATTATTATTATTATTATTATTATTATTATTATTATTATTATTATTATTATTATTATTATTATTATTATTATTATTATTATTATTATTATTATTATTATTATTATTATTATTATTATTATTATTATTATTATTATTATTATTATTATTATTATTATTATTATTATTATTATTATTATTATTATTATTATTATTATTATTATTTTGTTTTTTATTGTCATTCCATTCGTTTCCTTGATGCATAGGCTCCTGCTTATTCGTTGTATATATTAACAGCTCAACGTTTGGTGTATGTTTTGAAATTCATGTGATCTCGTAGCGTAGATTGATGGATGTTATACGTAGTATTACATTTTTACCCATCATCCCTAGTATTGATTTTTGTTTGTTTGGTGGGTCAAAAGGAAGTACTCCGTATTATGAGAAGTTAATGCAAGTAGTTTTCCACACATGGCTAGTTATGTATCATTGCTACTTATCTCACCACTTTTTCCCAAAGCTCGTTCGGTAGAATATATTGCTTTATTTGCTTATGGAGTCTGGAAGTCACGATATTATGGTAGGAGTTATTCTGAAATTCAGGGCTTGAAATTTAAGAAGATACTCCTGGAGTCCGGGGTATTTGTTTTGTTTTAATAATTCATTTCTAGTTGGTAGTGTTAGACTACACATAATTATATATTTAGCTAACTAATGTATGCCTATGTAACTTTGCAGTTTCACCTTCTTCTCAATCATTGTCTGAGTCACTAAATGTAAATATATTTATAAATACAAGTTGCACCTTCCCACAATCCCACTCTCCGTCTCTCCCCAACAAAAAGAATCCCTTGAGACTTGAGAGGCATAATTAGTTCTTTGCCTTCTCATCACACAAAAAACCAACGCCTCTCATCGACAACTAGTCTACGCTCATACATTGATATTCATGTCCAAGTGCACAGACAGTTGCACACATAATATTTTGGATTTCAAGCCAAATAGTACATAACTACATATGCCTAGAAATTGATTTCTGTTCAGTGTATTAAACGGTCCAATACTCCAATGGTGAGGTAAAGTGGTGGCCCGTTTACCAGGGACGGCGCTAGGCTTAGCAATGTGGTTTTAACTGACACCACTAAAAAAAAATTGTGTATTGTATATAGATGAATGATCTTGTTCAATCATCCGGCCGCCGCCATATGGGATTATGGGGTGATTTTTGGTGAACTTTTTGATGAAATTTTGTGCGAATGTTTTTTACATGTCCATAAAATTTTACTTTAAAACTCAATCGGGAAGTTAGTTAACTAAATTATTGAAATACGCCTAAATATATACAAAGTGAATACATGAGACAATTAAGTAGTGATCCATGTAGTTCTCATAAAACTATTAAAGATCTGTCTATTAGCTAAAACCGCTAAAACTTAAAACTACTTAATTATTAATAATTTTTTATACATTATTGTATTAATAATAATACTTTAATTGTTAATATCACTGATGCATGTTATAGCCTGGCTCTGTCAAGATGTTCAGTGGATCGGGTTCATGCGGTGTTTATTTTTAAACAAAGACAATACATAAGTACATTAATTTCTGCTAAATAAATTTCAACCACAGTTTTTATTTGTCCTTCGACCAAAGCCAACGAAAAATTAGGGATATAAATCATAGAATTGAAGAAATACAACCATACCTCAAGTCCTCAACATATAAGCACAATGTATATAGGACTTTTTCATCATAGCCTCCCGAACTAACTTAAAAGTGCAATTCATTCCTTATATAGGAGGTTCCCAGTGGAATTTTTTTATGATTTTTTTTGAGCATATTCTTCATCAAGTCTAGTTTACCCATACCAAATTTCAGATAAACATTCAACCGGGAAGACAGTCAAATGATTTTCTAAAATGTACTACGCTGTTTAACTGCGCAGTTATCTTCAAAAATTCATTTGACTGCCTTTCCGATTGAATTTTTAGCTGAAATTTGGTATGAATAAACAAAACTTAATGAAGAAGATGCTCAAAATATTTATTCAAAAAAATCCACTGGGAACCGCCCTAATTGGCCACGCCGGACAGAGCCTTTTATATAATGTGTGAATTGCACTTTTAAGTTAATTTGAGAGCTTATTTGACCCTTTAGCCTATCAATTATAATATCAATAATAATGCTATTGCAAATCATAACTCAAAACACAAGCACAAAAAGTCTAAAACAGAACATAGTTACAAAGTCCTTTATTTGAACGGAGTATCACACTAATTAAATATGTAAGGATGACAACATTAGTTAATATGGCAATGTGGGAACAACAAAAGAGATGGCTAAGCTATGTGCCTATGTGTTTGTTCCAACTAAGGACCCAATACATTAATCTTATTTGCGAAATAAACTAAAAGAACTCCTACGTATGTACCTGTGCTATTTGCCTAATTCAAACTTTTTATAGAATAACAAGTTTCCATTGACAGTAACAGTAATAGACTCATTTATCATCTAAATTATACAACATAGGGGTGCTTAAATTAACTGCTTATAATTAGTGATCGAAATGACAAATAAGAGTGACATTTATTTTTTTTGGACATTAAAGTTTCAACTTTTGAATTAGTAACATGATACTACGTATACGTATTTGTAGTTAGCTAGGGATCAACTCTAGTTGTCAATTTGAAATTATTAATTAATGAGCGAGGCAAGGTATTAAATCACTATGATGTCATTAAGCTATTGTTCTACAGTAAATTTGACTATTTGTTTACGAGGCTCAATCAATAGGATACGTTGGATATACTTTCTCGAAATTAATATTATACGATTACGAATGCTATGAAAGCTTTAAACATGATTTGAAATGTTGACTTAGTACTGTTTTGCATATCTGTTGGTGAACATGTACGGAGTATATATGGATACACTACGTACAAGACATTATTTATTACGGTCTCTCAGTTTTCACTTTTCTTTTTGAGAAGTCCTGTTGAAAATATGGCATTTTTATTTTAGCAAATACGGAGTAATTAATATTTTTAAATAACAATGTAATACAAGTATCAAGCTAAGGATTAAGAATAATACATTTATAATATCATAGTTATTGTGTATTATTCTCGTTTGCTAGGTAAATGAGGAAAGAGTTGATCGCTTCACACCAACATTAGAGAGTTGACCTCGGAACAATGCTCTTTCTCCTGTTTTAGAGGCAAAGTAACATTTATATATAGGTAGATTTTATGGTACCCATAAGGTACAAAATATTGACGTGAATAAATCAAATGCAAAATAATAAGGCAGTCTAATATTTTCATTTTTTATGGGTAAGTAATAACACCATAACAGAATCATTCTATTCGTTAAATTAAATCAACGTGTTCTGTACGTAGTTAGAAGATTGACGTGTTACGTTCACTAAATATATTCAGCCACTTGAGAAATCTTTTCCTTCAACAAATGTGGATTCATTATGATTTTCTGCAGGTCAGTCTCACATTATTTCATGTAATATTTCATTGATCTGTCCTCTTTGGATTGCAAATATCCATTTCCCGGCACAAATTTGATCATTAAAATTTTTCATTTCTTATTAGTAAAAAAATAAAAATTCAAAATTTCAGTTAAATTTGATAAAATGCAGTAAAAATATATTGATAAATACGGAGTAAAAAAGAAACAAAGGTAGTACATAGATTGATGGTCGGGTCACGGGTGTGTCTCGTTTTGTACATAATTCGATCTGTCTGCCCAAATTAAAACAAGCACAAAAGTATAGTAGTTTAATTTCCATATATGGATCGGAGCAATTTCTTCATTCGTATAATACGTATGGCCTGGAGTATAAGTAATAACCCGCAAATTAAAGCTAGCTAGCTACATGGAGCAATCGCCATTATCGGCACCGTCGGAGTTATGCTCTCCGCCGGAAGAGCTGTTAGACCACGCAGAAGAATAATAGTAATCCGTCGTCGTCATTCCCTGAGATGGCGCATAGTTGTGCAACTGCAACCCTCCTCCGCCACAATCACCACCTTCTGTCATTCTCGACCTCCCATTCTGCTGCTGCAGCTGCATCATCATCGCCATGTTGTGGGGATGGCCCCCGCCGGCCATCGTCATACGCTGCAGGTTGAACGACAGCGAACGATGCCCGTTGAGACTATGACCCGCAGCGGCTGCAGGTTTCCCGACAGGTGAATACCCACTGGACGAGGACGTCGACATAATTTCAGCAGCGTTGTTGTTGTTGTTGTTGTTGTTGGCACTGGCGAAGCGCATGAGGTCGGCGTTGGTGGCCTCGAGCTCCTTCTGGAGGCGGAGGACTTGAGTCTGGAGGACGGAGATGGCGCCTACGCAGCCGTAGACGGGGTCTTTCAACCGCGCCTCGGCTTCGTAGGCGAGGGAGTTGACGGCGTCTTCTCTCTGGTGAGGCTGGATCTCGCTCAGCAGCTTGCTCACGTTGCTGGCGCCGAAGATCTTGTGGACGTTGACGAACTTCTGCGGCTCCTCCGGCGGGAAGTACGGCGAGAAGACGCACCCCGGCAGGCATTTTCTTCTTAGGAACTTGCATGCCGCACATGGTGGGTTTGAGTTGCTGGAAGACATCCTTGATCTTTAACCTCTTGAAAACTAGTTTGGAAAAGCAATCCGACCCGACCCGATCCGACTCGAATGGATCAAGCTGTTGTGTAGTAGCTTAGGTTATAATTTGTGGATGTACGTGGCTTGTGAATCTGCATGCATATATCATTAACAATTCTCAACTTACTTATATATATCACAAACTTTTCGATACTGCAAATAAACAAATGATATAATAAGTACTCTGAATGGAATGTAATGCCCATTATCTACCTGCAAATTTTCTAGCTTTGCTAAAAACGTTTGGTAAGTGAAAAGCTATGTGCAAATCTAGTTAACAACATATTTATATCACTTTCATACTCCGCATTGTAAATACATTTGTCTAAAATTATTAGTACTACGCAGAGTTATAGGAAAGGTTAGCCAATTTTTACTTTCACGTGAATTAATTTTAACCACATATTCCTTACTTTAAATGGAAATGACAAATCTTTCATTACAACATTTCAACATCTAATGTATCACCCAAAAGTGTTACAATAGCACTGAAAAGTGTTACATTAGAGAAAATGTAACACTTTTTTACCATTACATTTGCTCATGTTGCATTTGACCTAATGTAACACTTTATAGTCCCTAATGTAACATTTATACTTTTAGAAAGTGTTACATTAGGTATAAAAAGTGTTACATTAGAGAAAAATGTAACACTTTTATAGGTATGTTACATCTTCAATGTTATGTTAGGTCTTAAATTGTAGTAGTGTTTTTTGGACATCCAAAAAAGGAAATTTGGTAAACTTTTTCGAGACAAGACAGTGATTCCTGACATTTAATTATAAATAGTCTTTTTATAAAAAACAGTGATTTGAATGTATGATATCTGTTTTGATGCTACTTTTTCTCTTTTCAATTTACAAATATAGAAAGATGTTTAAATTTGTTAGTTATGCATCCATAAAAACATTGCGAAGGTTTTTAATCCATAATTATAGATATTTTACTAGCTTCCTACTCCTTAATACTTCGTACTTGTGTGTCTATCTCTCATGCCACATGTTGACATGTGTATCGTGCTCATTGTGACATTGGAAATGTTCTTAGAGCAAACCAATAATATAAATTGTGAGCTACTTTTCAATCGTAATTAAATCGATCACATTGCTAGTTTGATCGCAATGAGCAATGCTATACTAAAATCATTCTTGGAATAGGCCGTGATTTTTTTTGAAAATTCTAAAATATGACTGTCATGTTTTTATTTCCAAAATATGAGTAATTACTGCAAAGCTTGAAAAATACAGTCATGCTTAAAGTCTCATACTGCCAAAACATGACAATAATTACTTCTATTTTGAAAATAAAAACATGAAAGTCATATTTTGAAATGCAATAGCAAAAGAATAGCCGATTTCCCTAACTCATGAAATGCAACGAGATTGGGTTGTCATTTGAGTAGATTTTGTTGTCTCATCATTGGAACAAAATTAAGTTCACAAATGGAATCAATACATGAATTTCAATATTGATACGATCAGCTAACGACAAGTAGAACTGCTTTTATTTTGAGAGCTTATTAGCTAGCTAGGTTTTGAAGGCCGGTAACATAAAAGAACATTAGTGCGTGTGTTATCATTATTCGCATTGCTCTGTGTCGTTCTAAGCTAGTCTTGATCGTACACAACAACAAAACTGCATGTGTGAAGTCTTATCAGAATCAAACCACGATGCAAATTTATAAGCTACAGGTCTTAAATAAAATACTTCTCCGTACAACAACAACGTTAGCCTAGTGCCCCTAGGCACATAAATATTGTTTACATATGACATCAAAAATTGCATGAGGTTAATTACTACTTCTGTACTTCATAACAAAAAAGTTCAAACAGTTTGGTTAGTCATTTTACTTTATTTCATTATATTACCCAACTTTAACATTTAATAGATGTACTAGATCCATTTTCATTTTCCTCTTTATGTCGTATTCTTATCACAATAAATTCTTATTTTCAGATGAGTTTCATCAGAACTCCTTAAAATTGGCCACTAATTTGAAAAAGTGAAAGGATGAGAATGAACAATTTTTTGCCACTATTGTAAGTATAATGGATTTTAATATAATTTGAATGATTAAAATGCATATTGTAATAATAAAATGCAGTTGGTATTTTTATCATTGAACATTGAACACTAATGTCCTTACATTTTTATGGGGATAAGACTCAAATTGGATACTATGGTTTCATCAGAATCTCATATTTGACACTAAGGTTTTAAATGGACCAAATTAGACACTATGGTTTCATATGCATCTCATATTGGACACTAAAGTTTCATAATTCAATATAAGTGACTAAAGTGAGTGTCCAATTTGATCTTTATCCAATATAAGTGAGTGTCCAAAACCTATGAATTATGAAACTTTAGTGTCCAATATGAGATACATATGAAACCATAGTGTCTAATTTGATCTATTTGAAACCTTAGTGTCAAATATGAGATTCTGATGAAATCACAGTATACAATTTGAGCCTTGTCCCCATTTTTATGACTACAACGTAATCCCTCCAATTTTTAGGGCGTAACAATCAGATTCACATCTACCATAACTCCATAAGAAGTACCATACTCTTGTTTTCATTCAAACTTTTTTAAACATGATTATTATATAGTCCGTATATATTTGTTTGTATTTTCAAAAGATCACAGCGACAATAATTTTTCAATGAGAGTACATCAATCTTTTCAATTAGATTTCTGATCGTATTGCTCTACGCTGTATTGCCAATGCAAAAATACTGACAAAAAGTCAAAAAGTCGCTATTTCCTAATAAAGTGCACCTTCAATTCCTTGCCATCATAAAAAATACACAATTTGAACAAGAAGTTGAATTTAGAGCACTAAAAGTAAATATTATACGTAGTATTTCGCATTTCTAAGAGAATGCTCCTATTGTTTGAACCACAACCATCACACACACAGATTGTGATTCAGGTAATTGAGAAGTCTTCTTGTAAAAAAATGAAAAAAAGAAACTCTACGAAATTGAAATAAGACTTTCAATTTTTATAAGAGGTTTATTTAAAAATGTTATTTAAATAAAATTTAATTCAAACAAAATATACGGAGTGTTACTATGAAGTATGATCATATCGTTATGTTCAATGCAGTTACTATTTTTAGTCACTTGTTGGCAATTGTTTATTTTATAATTGCCCGATTCCACTTAAAGATACACTTGTCGCCATAAATTATTATACTAATTGTTTTTACAGAGCATTTTTTAATGTTCTCAATTTTTTTGAACACATTTGGGAATTGGGACTCAAATTTGAATGTTGTTGTTGTGTTGTTGTTATATATACAAATACTTACTTGTTCATATTTCCTGCACCTGAAATTAAATATTGTGTTACAGAATTCCAATTACACCAAAATAATGATCCCATCCGATTAGACTTACAATATTTTTACTTATTGATTCTTTCCAGTCTAATTAAATTTGATTTGTTTAATTCTGATCCGCTTTGATCTAATATCGAAATAAATTCAAATTTTTTACTTGACAAAACAATAATTTCATTAATAAACATCGTTACTCATTACATGAGGAATACTACCCTCGGGGGCCGGGGCTCCAACCCAACTACCATGAGACCCATTATTAGCACAAGCTAATAGTAGATCTAAACCATTCAAAGGTATGCATTAAGCACAAAAATAAATCCAGCTCAGGAACTTAATTTGGACGATCGATTACACAACATCTAATTACTTTCTAAATCATTAAGTTTTTACCGTAAGATAGGCTTATACTCAAGTATAAAGTTATGGGAGTTTGAGAGTTTCTTGCTATATGAATTAAGAAGAATTAATCAATTAATTTAAAGAAGCTATGAGCTGAGAGAGTACCATAAGCTAAAGTAGTACCTTTTGTATGCTGCTGGCCAGTAAAATATCAATTTCTTTAGCTGGATATTTTGCCCCCACCAACTGATGACTAAGGACCAGAAATTTGTGAAATGAATAAAAAGAGGTAATAAATGTGTGTGAGATTATTTGGGTGAGAGGAGAAAACCCTAATGGAATCAGCAGCAGGTGACTGATTGTGTAATAAGAAGAAGACTGCAAAAGTCTGTAAACATCCAAAAAGTTGAGATAAAGAGAGAGATAGGTTGGGGTTGCGGAAACTGAACGAAACCCAAAAGGCACCTAGCTAGGGCGTGCCACAATAATTAAGTAGGGGTGTAAAAGGAAATTAACGGAAATTGAATCACTTTTTCTTAATCTTCTCAATCTGATCGGTTAAAATTTTCATGTAACACCTAGTTTTTTTTTAATCTCGCACCAAAATTTGTATATCAGTCAAAATAAGGAGAGTTGAAGTTATTTTCAAGTTGAATTGACTAAATTATTGCAGAAAATTATTTTAAATATTTTCATATAATTTTTTCTTTATTTACTAATCAAATAATTTTAAATAGAAAATTTTAATAAATAGCAGTAGAATCATACAATTCAGTTACATCAATCAGAACTTCATAAATTTCAGCAGATTCGGCCAATTCAGCCAATTTCAATGTAACCAAACACGCCAGCTCTAAAATGTTTATCTTTATTAATATGTTTGTTTGAATAATTGACTTCTCTATATGAAGTTGTGTATTTTGTTTGCTAAATAATTAAACAATATGAATAAGAGAATCAATTCAATGTCATTTTTTGAACTATATTGATGGCCGGTCTAGGGTAAGATTGGAGAACAGCGGCACAAGGTAGGACTGGCGGTGGGTTCAAAGGCCAATTCTGATTGTGGTTTGACGAATTGTTTAGCACCCATAATTAAGGGTAGTTTGTTAAGGGTTTGTTTGGCCTGTTTATACACCCCGATATTGTTCATCCCGGTTTGGGCTTAAGGGGTGTGTTAAAGCATTTGTCCCACACTGGAAAGCTATAAAACAATTAAACACTATATAAGGCTTTGTACTACTCCTCATAGATATTTTAGGATAGAACCCCAAGTCTTAACACTAGATATCTCTGATACGGATTTCACTGCACGAAGATTGCTCGATACTATTGCTCCAGCGTAATCAAATTAGCATCGGGTAATTGAAGGTTCTCGATACTGGGGGTAGACGAAGGTTCTCATTTTGTTGCTTCGACGAACTAAACCAGTCATCAGGTAATTGATTGTCCTCGTTTCCATTGCTTCGGCGAATCAACTTGCCTATTTTGTTTGTTGCGGCGGACACTTGCGAGAAGGAGTATTATTCTGTGCGAGTAGGATTTGTTCTTGCGAGACTCTACAAGTTTGGTTTGGGGATGGAGTTGATTAACACACATGATGGGGGTAGAGAGGTTAGCACAGACTTACGAACAATATGAAGATGGACGAAGAAGATGAGACTACTTTGGTGGAAGTCATGGCTTCAGGTGTGGTGGATGGGAATCTAGCGTTTGTCGATACCATCACATCTGAAAAGTCGGGTATGGCCAGCGGAAAATCATTGTCCTTGGCAGTTAACAGATTGTTGATGGGCGACATATTTGGTGAAGTGCAGAGTTCAGACGGTGATGAAGTATCAATCACAACGGCCCTGATAATTCGACCTCCTCCTGAACCACCACCCCATGAATGAACGAGTTGGAGTTTCGGCTGTTCGTGGAAGGTCTGATCAGCTAGAAGGAATAAAGAATAACAGAGCTTTGACAAGTAGTGGCAGATTCATTTAGTTTGCGTTTTAATAATTTTATCTTTCAATTTGTCTTTTATGTTGGATTCATTGTGGTTTATGCTAATGTGGTGGTAGGTTTTTTATGCCGAGAAGTAAGACGACTTCAAAAGACGAGTTAATCATCAAATATTTCAGATGATTAGCGTCTCGATCCGCTCTAGTTAGACTGGTCGTTTCTATGTCTAATCAGAGGGTGATGGGGCGTACCTTCAGGTTATGATGAGTCTGGTAGGAGGATGCTCTTTAGTATTGCAAAGTTAGGAATTTCGTTGATTCTTGGATTTTAATAGAGTGAATTCCCTAAATACGACCAAAACAATATACAAGTGCACAAACAGGACTTCCATGTTTCATAGGACTAAAAATGTATTATGTTGACAAAATTACCCTTAATGAACTTCCAATTCTATTCAGGATTAAAAATAATAAACTATAAAATTCCTAGAACCCTAGCAGATTTTCCGCAGGAATAAAAACTGTCGCTACCCTTTCTGCCGCCGCCGCTCTTTCCGTTATCGCCGCTCTTTCCGCCGTCGCCGCTCTTTCCGCCGCTGCCGCACTTTCCGCCGCTGCCAGACTTTCCGCCGCCGCCGGACTTTCCGATGCTGCCAGTCCAACCACCTCCATCTCCGCAAGTTTTGTAGATTCAAATCTGCCATCTTAACTTATTGCCTAAAGAATCAAGTTAGTCACAACATAAAAATGAAACAATTATGCCATTTTAATAAAAATGAACATAATATTGGCAAATTTTTTCCATTGACTTGGCAGTTTATTGAATAAAATAAGAGTTTTCTGCCATAATATAAACATATGATACGAGGCCACAAATTTCTGCCAAAACTTGATTTCACACATAAAGTCAAGTAAGTTTTCTGCCACAAATTTGGCAAAATATGAAGCCAATATCCAAAACTGTCAAATTTCAAAATAAAAACGAAGCCACAAATTTCTGCCAAAACTTGAGTTCAGACATAAAATCAAGTAAGTTTTCTGCAACAACTTTAGCAAAATACGAAGGCAATATCCAAAACTGTCAGTAGACACTTTTTTTGCCATTAACTTGGACAAAATCTGAGGCCATCATCCAAATTTTAGAAAATTAATTTTATTTTTAAACTAAGAAATTGGAATTTAGAAATTGCAAATACGAAATAGAAGATCGAAAATTGACAAAATCAATGTCAAAATCCAGAAAAACGGAGAAATTTGCGGAAAATCGAAAAAGAAGAAGGAGAAGATGAAGGAGAAGGAGAAGGAGACGGAGAAGAAAGAAAGAAAAGCGGAAGGAGAAGAAGACATACCTGGATCGGAATTGCCTCCCATGGCGGAAGAGAAGGTATTAAATAGTGATGCATTTATCTAGAATATTCTATGTAGAAAAGGCTAGAGATGTTCTACAGAACTATAGCTACAAGTATTCTAGAGAATTCTCTACTAGAGAATTCTTATGTAAAATCTAGATTAATTAGACATAGTTGTAGAATACTCTAGAATCATAGCATTTAATAAGGATCTAGAATGATCCTCTAGCTCCTATAAATAGGACTCATTGTACTCATTTGCAAACCAAGCAAACCAAGAAACATCAATACAATATATCTTTTCTAGAGACAAGAGCTCTACTCTAAAACACCTCCTCTACACTACACCTCACTAAAATCACTTATCATATTCATATACCAACAACCTCTTCTATTTTCTAACAAGTGGTATCAGAGCCTGTTCGATCATAAGCGGGCGTTATGGCGACATCAAGCTTCTCGGTATCGACTCCAATGTTCAATGGAGAAAGCTACGACTATTGGAGTGTCCGTATGAAGACTTGCCTAGAATCACATGATCTTTGGGATATTGTTGAAGAAGGAATCATCACTCCGGAAAAAGGAAGCGACGACGCATCAACTTCCGAGGTATGTAAGAAACAAAAGCAGCAAAATGCTAGAGCTCTCTATCTTCTTCAACAATCCGTTAATGATACCATTTTCCTGAGAATAATTCGTGCTGCTACGGCAATAGAAGCTTGGGATATTCTTAAGGAGGAATTTCAAGGAAATGAGAAAGTTAGAACTATTAAATTACAAAGTTTAAGAAGAGAGTTCGAAAATTTGAAGATGAGAGATTCTGAAATGGCAAAAGATTATTTCTCTCGGGTTATACATATAGTCAACGAAATGAGAACTCTTGGAGAAAACATAACCGACGAGAAAATAATCCAAAAGATCTTAATCAGTCTCCCTGAAAAATATGATCCAGTAGTTTCGGCTATTGAGGAGTCAAAAGATCTATCAAAAATGTCCATCACTGAATTAATAGGGTCACTAGAAGCACGTGAGCACAGGCTTAACAGGAGACATGAAAGTTCATTAGAAAGTGCCTTCCAATCTAAGCTCAACATTAAAAGGAATGACTCAAGAAATGGTGGGAACTTTAAATCTCATAAATATGGGAATTCTAACAACAAGGAGAGGAAGACAAACTTTCCACCATGCAAAATATGCAAGAAGACTAACCACTTAGAGAAAGATTGCTACCATCGAGGAAAGCCACAATGCAAGAATTGCAAGAGGTTCGGGCATGAAGAAAAAGATTGCAGGGATAGAAGAAATCATCAGGCCAACTATTCCGAAGATTTCAAGGAGAAGGAGTACATGTTCTATGCATGTCACTCGGCAATCGAAGCGAAAGAAGAAGAGTGGTACATCGATAGCGGGTGCAGCAACCACATGACATCCAACGAGACCATCTTCCATGAGTTGGATACTTCTATCAAGACAAAGGTCAAGATGGGCAATGGCGAATTGGTAGAGGCAAAGGGGAAAGGTACCATTGTCATAGATACAAAGAAAGGTACGCGCTATATTAGAAACGTTCTCCTAGTGCCACGCCTTGCACAAAATCTACTAAGTGTTGGCCAAATGATGGAAAGTGGATATGCCCTACATTTTGAGAAAAATTCTTGTCGAATTTATGACAAGAAAAATAACCAAGAAATTGCTGAAGTGAAAATGGGAAATAATAGAAACTTTCCCATTCAATGGCAATACCCACAAAAGGCAATGGTAGCTCAACTGAGTGATACAAGTCTGTGGCATCGAAGATTTGGGCACTTCAATCTCAATGCCTTGAGATTACTACATCAAAAGAATATGATGAGAGACATGCCTCTACTGGATGAAAAAGACGGAGTATGTGAAGGATGTATGGTTGGGAAGCAGCACAGACAACCATTTCCAACAGAGAAGACATGGAGAGCCAAACAGATACTAGAGCTTGTTCACACCGATGACTGCGGTCCAATGCGCACACCTTCAGTTTCCAAGAACAGATACTTCATACTCTTCATCGATGATTACTCAAGGATGACATGGGTGTATTTCTTCCAAGAAAAATCCGAAGTTTTTAGAATATTCAAGAGATTCAAGAACTTCGTGGAGAAACAGAGTGGTCATCAAATCAAGAA